GAGAAGGCTCCAGGGAGAGCTCAGAGCCCCTTTTGGGGCCTAAAGGGGCTTTAGGAGAAAGACTGGGGCAAACTTTTTAGCAGGGCATGATAGAACAAGAGGAGGTGTTTTAATCTGAGAGAGAGGAGGTTTAGTCTAGGTAGAAGAAAGAAMTTTTTTACAATGAGGGTGGCAAAACTCTGAAACACGTTACCCAAAGAGGYGGTGGCTGCCCCATCCCTGGGAGTGTCCAAGGCCAGGTTGGATGGGGCTTGGAGCAACCTGGGATAGCAGAAGATGTCCCTGCACAGGTCAAGAGGGTGGAACTGGATGACCTTTAAAGGTCCCTTCCAACCTGAGCCCTTTGATGATTCTGTGATTACATGAACACAGCTGGCACAAACATGAGCCCTGAAATTCATTCAGGAGTTGCAAAATTCCTTTGTTCTCTTTGAAGGAAGTGAAAAATCCCAGAAAGTCATCTCTGGGTAGGAAGAGTGGGACCTGTCCCACATCATTCAGCCGTTTGGAAGGGAAGTAAACAGGTACCCTGTCGAGACACTGACGTGTTGACACTTTAATTTTGATTGTCCTGCAATCTGCAGTGATTTCCATCCGCACTCTGCAGCCACCCTGGCTCTGGAGGGAGGCAGGCACTGGTGGAAGGTGATTCACCCCACCCACGCTGGACCTCCCAGGGCTGGGATGAATCACCTTTGGGCACCTCTGTGCTTCCAGCCAGCGTGCTCTGCTTTCCCAGGGCTCAGAGAGATAAGGTTAACCACGGGGAGGGAGTTCCCACCACCACCGCTCCCTCCTCCCTGCTCAGCTGATGGGACAATCCCTGGAGAAACCTTTCCCAAGAGGATGCGATGCTGGCACAGCCCAGGGACCCAGGCCAGGCAGCCTGATCCCTTCCCAGGCCATTTTAACTGGGAATGCAAYGGGAAATAAAGGTCCAAGTCCATCCTCCCAAACCTAGGGAGCAGGGATTCAGGCCCATAGGTCGTAAACCCTGCTGCAATCCCAGTAAAACATCCCAAGTYCTTACAGCCACAGGATATTTTCTTTCCTTCACACTTCTGAGAAGAATTCCACAGCATCAGGTGCTTTGGCAGGGGTCCAGATCTGCAGGCASAGACCAAAAACCTGCCTTGGGAAGATGGAAAAACCAGTCCCCCATCCAGGGCATGTGTTTGGTTGTCTGTGCTTGGACCTGCAGGGCCATGGCAGGGTCAGCCCACACACACAAACAGTGTTTCTGAGCACAAAAAAACCTCACAAAATGAAAATTATGTGAATTACTTTTTAGCTATTTAGACTTATAATTTTTTTTAGACTTCAAAATAGACTTCTAATTTTTTTTCCAGGTCTTGTGGCTTTTAACCCCATTCTATGCTTGCATTCTGGTTGGCTTATAATGCCAGCAGCCACAACAACAAAAAAGAGATGGATTTGCAAGGGGAGGGTGAAAAAAAAAAAATTCTAAAAACGGCTCAAGATGAGCWGTGCATTAATCAGACACCTGGGAATCAGGGGAAGAAACCAGCCCCAGTAAATGCTTGTTAGCAGCAGCATATGKCTGGATGCTCTCTCTGAGCAGCTGCTGTTACCTGCTGGAGCATCCAGGCTGGATGGGGAATGGCACTGGGGTGCTGCAGCGTTTGCTTGGACCAAAGGAGCATCTCCTGGCACGAGTGRCAGCGAGCTGGATGGGCAAACCCTCTCCCTGGGCTCAAAAAACCCTTTGCTGAGCGTTGCAAGAGCCTCTTCCTGCAGTTGTGCAGGAGGAAATTACGTGCAGAAAAAAAAATACCTGTGTTTTAGAAAGGGAAGAAAGAGACTGCAGTTTGGGAAGCGAGAGGATTTTTCCATTTGGCACTCACCTGCAGGGGCAAAAAAGGGAACAATTTTGCAAAGTACAGGCTAAAATGTTTTAGGATTGAATGTGTCAGCAGGACTCCAGGTGGCACCAGTGGGGCTGAAAATGCTGCCCCGTCTCTTCTCTGCTTGTGTTCTGCCTACAGCCCCCTGGAGCCTGCTATGTTCCCCATCCTTTTCCATCCATTTTGGAGGGAATTAGTGCTTTATTTACAGACTCAGTGCCCTGMAGCTGGAATATTGTGTGTTTTCAGAGGAAATTTTTAAGATAGTAGAGTAAATGAAGCAAAACCCCAACAATCTCGGTTTAAGAAAATGCTGTGTTTGGCAGCAGGTCACCTTTAGCTGGATTTTTAACRTCTGCTATTCCCTTTTGATACCTCKGACTGTGTGTGCACCTCCTTGGTCTGCACCTGAGTTTCTTTCCAAGCCAAAAATGAAAAGGGAACAACTGAGAAAAATCCCTTCTTGTAGAAAATACACCCGGGATAGTCTGAGCCTGAGTGAACTCATCCCCATCCCACCTCCCAGCCCCACTTCTGGGATCTCCAGCAGACAGAGACAAAATACCTGTGGCTTGGAAATACCTTTTTTCCCCCCGTGTTTTCCTATGTTGAACCAATGTTTTACATGACTTGCACTATTTGCTGTAGGGCAGGATACTGTTTAGGTTTCTTTGTTCCGGTCTCTTGTTCGGTTGCAACTCCTCTTGGCGGTCCTGTACACGTACCTGCTGCACATCTTACACCCCTGGAGAAAATAAACTGTTCCCTGAAGCAGTGAGTCTCTCGTGTGTCCTTCACGCTGCTCTGGGGCTGGGGAGTTCAGATTTCAGCATCAGATCAGTGAACTTGATGATCCCGGGGGTCTTTTCCAGCTGAAGTGAGTCTGTCATGAAATGATGGTGCGTCATCACCATTTATGGTGATGGGGGTTATGGGGTTTTGTGGTGATCCTTCATGTGGCATCCGAGCTGTCACCACAGCCCCTGRTGATGCCCGAATGAATTTTTGTGCGGGGCAGATCAGTGCTGTAAAATACATGCAAATATAAACTGTTGGGGTTTTGTTTTTCCTTATTTCAGCGCATCTGCTGGCTCAGCTCCGTGCTCGAACCTGGACTGCCCTCGTGTGGTGTCCCGGAGGCAGCTCTGCCATCGGAGCGATTCTGGGGACAGCACAGGGCTGCCACTCACACCTGSAGCAGTTTTGGGGGTCTCAGTTGCACCAGGACATGCAGGACCCTTGGTCACCTCCCGCATCTCCTTGCCAGGAGCAGGAAATAAAAACATCAGCCAAATGAGAGCRTTTAATGGTTGGACTCGATGATTTTAAGGCTCTTTTCCAACCTAAATGATTCCATGATTCTAAGAAGTTTTTACACCTCAAATTTTAACCACCATCCAAGTAATAAGGCCGGTGAGGCTGGGAACATGCCACAACTRTCGGTGGCCCTATGGGAACCCTGATTTTTAGGAAATTACTCCTGAAGGTTAAACAAGGACTGGACTTTCTCATGCCCAATGTTGCCTCAGCCAATATTTCTCACTTTCCCTCATGGTACCACTAATAATTTTGCTCAGTTTGGGCAAGCAGGGATTTAAAATGTAAATCTTATGCAATTATATAAAGCTAAAAACTAAAACTATGAGACTAAAAACCATAAATGCAAATACTGCAGAAGCCAAACAGCAGTGCTGAGCTACAACCCCCAAAGTTTCATTTTATTTCTTTCTCTCTTGCAGGGATGACACTTGTGACTGAGATGTCACAAATCTGATCTGGGCTTCCTAATAGTTCATGCAGTGCCTGGAGCCTCAGGGGTCATCTGAAATTCAGGCAGCCAATTTGCAGGCAGGAGATGCAAAGCCAGACCAGGCAGGGGCTGAGGTTTTAAGGACAGACCCTGTCTGTCAGCTAAAACCTTCCTCTGCTCTTGGGTAACCTCTGGCAAATCCTTATAGGGACRGCTGTAAACCTGCCTGTCTTTAAGGTGTAGCTGCTAACTCTGTTTCCATAGTGAGCAGGACAGGGCTGTCTCGGTGGGACCAACTTCTGCCATGGTAGCTGGAGTTTTGCATCGTTGGGGAAATGTTTAAGGCTTCACCTCTTGAGTTCTAAGAAATAGGGTTCTCATTAAGGTAGATTTTATGATATTTTACTGGGGGTCTTGATATATTCATTGGAAAATCAGCTGGAAATGCAAAGTCCTCATGACCTCTGTGAGACAAGGTCCTTGGATCTGCAGTGAAGGTGAGTGAGCAGTGATYTGCTCTGGGTGTTGCTGCAGGGGTGAAGCAGCCAGGCTGTGACACTCCACAGTTTGAACACAGAAACTGGATGAGAAGAGGGAACAGAAGCTCCATGAGAGGTGGAAGAAAATCTCCCATGGGAAGACAATGAGGCCACACCTCGAGTGCTGYGTCCAGTTCTGGGTCACTCAGAGGGGCTGGGTGGGCATCCAGGGCAGGGAACGGAGCTGGGGAAGGGTCTGGAGCCCCAGGAGCGGCTGAGGGAGCTGGGAAAGGGGCTCAGYCTGGAGCAAAGGAGGCTCCGGGGGGAYCTTGTGGCTCTGCACAACTCCCTGACAGGAGGGGGCAGCCGGGGGGGTCGGGCTCTGCTCCAGGGAACAGGGACAGGAGGAGAGGGAACRGCCTCAAGTTACCCCAAGAGGGGTTTMAATYGGAAATTGGGGAAAATTTCTTCACTGAAAGGGCTGTCCAGCTCAGGCACAGCTGCCCAGGGCAGGGGTGGATTCCCTATCATTGGGATTTAAAAKMCAKGTGGATGTGGCCCTTGGGGACRTGGTTTGGGGGACTTGGCAGTGCTGGGGGAACAGTTGGACTYGATGATCGTGGAGGGCTTTTCCCACYTGAGTGATTCTGTGGTTCCCTGATCCTGTGAGCGAGGGGCAATCGCCACTGCTGGAGCAGCAGTCCACCCTCAGCTGCCCGGGGTTCTGCTCTTTCT